TCTTGCACTGTAGTCAATCAAATATGCTATCAATCACCTTTAATCAAAAGCTAAACTTTACATTCACATAAACTTAAATTAGTAGACAGTAAAGAAACAAACTACCTTTATCGCCTATGTAAAATGCCAAACCGGCAACTGCTCTCCCTACAGCAGGAAGCCTTTCACACAGCCGACAGGATTTTTCACTGTCCTCACTCCATCTATTCTAAATCATCTCCTATTGTGCATGCTACTGGGATTCCACTGACCCTGCTTAACTCAACCTCCAAGGACGTGTTCAATGTTTCCTGTCAATCAGCTCCTAATGATTTTGCTCATTTCCTCTGAATAGAGTCTCTACACTTTGCAGATTTTTGGGAATCACTTTGGCTCAGTGCGGGAGGAGTCTCTTTGTGTTTTTGATGAGTTCTTTCTCCATCGCTACTTCCGAGAAGTCTAAGATCAAACTGATGTTAACATATGGGGAGTTGATATGTATTATACAAAAATATACTGGACCCAGCACAGTAGCTTAGTGGCTAAAGTCCTCACCTTGCTCATGCCAGGATCCCATGTAGGCACTGGTCCGTGTCCCATTGGCCCCGTTTCCCATCCAACTCCCTGCCTGTGGTCTGGGACAGCAGTTGGGAAAGCCTTGGGACCCTGCACCTACGTGGGAGACTTGGAGGAGGCTCCTGGTTCCTGGCCTCAGACCAGGGCAACTCCAACTGTTGCAGCCACTTGGGGAGTGAATCAACAGATGGAAGATCTTCCTCTATATATCTGACTTTCCCATAAAAAATGAATGCATGCACAAACATGCGAGGCTCAAATGAAACCTGCTCTGCTTCCCACATGTCTTGGTTAGTGGGGAACTACAACGGGCCCCTGCGTCCTTCTCCTTATTGTCTGACAGTGTGATGGCATGTGGACCTGCTTCTACTTTGACACCTGTACAGCACAGAGGGGCTAGGGTGATGGCAGCAGGCACAGCCAGGCCCTGGGGGGTGGGGCGTGACCCACAGGGAGGGGAACAGACATGGAAATGAACTTGCCCAGCATACTGGAGTTACAGGTGGCTGCACTGAGAGCTGCAAAGAGCTACATTTTGTGCAACTGTCAGTACTGGAGGCCAAGCAGTCCATAGACTGACACTTTTTTAAAGCTTTCTGAATTGTAATACATTTAAAAATGTGTATATGGTGAGATTGGTCAATATTTTTCACTTATGTTTCCAAATTTACTTGGAAATCTTTTCAAGATTTTCAAATTGAAACTCAACTGAGAAGGAATAAAAAGACAAGAAAGTCTGAGCTGCAGCTGAGTGGTTGCATGCATGACAATGCTGCATGCGCATGGCCATGCAGAAAGGGTGTCCACACCAAGCAGTCATGCTTACTCAGATAAAATCATGGATTCAGACACCAGGGCAGACTTTGCCAACCAAGATAATTCTTGGCAGCTGGAAGTAACAAATATGAAACATAAAATATGTGTCTCTGTGTTGGGAAGGTTAAAAAGTTTTTTAATAGAAGTTTCATGGGTAAATGTTTAATTTCCAATCATACAACTTTGTTCACACGCATATAGAGCTTAAATTCAATTGCAGCTTGAAAAAGCTGAAAACCTTAACGTTTTAGAAGAGAACAGGAGACTTCCTTCAAGAGCCCAAGTTTAGGTAGGCTTTTTAAAGAAATAAAAAAGGAGTCACAACTGGAAACATTACTTATGAGAGAGACCCCAGCAGGGAGGGGAGGGCCAGCGCCTGGCGAGATGTGCATCACCGAGCACATATCCACACCAGGATTAAAGTGACGCCAGTGTCCCAGTAAGGGGGAGGCCTGGGGCCCAACAGCAATGAAAGCAAAAAGCAGGTCTCTAGGCTGCCAACGTAGTAAGGCAGGTGACATTGCTGCCTGCTCTGTTGATATCCCACATGGGCATTGGTTCATGCTCTAGCTGTTTCATTTCTGCTCTAGTTCCCTGCTAACACTCTGACAGTAGCAGGATCGAGTGTTTCGGATTCTGCCATCCACTGAATGACACAGATGAAGTCCTAGCACCTGGGTTTGGCTTGGCCAAGCCCTGATCATTATGGCCATGGGGGGGAATTAGCCAGAATACGGAGGATCTCTCTGCCTCTTTCCCTCTTTCAAATAAATAAATAATTGTGAAAGAAAGAGAGAATGAAAGAAGAAAGGAAGGAAGGAAGGAAGGAAAAAAGGAAGGAAGGAGGGAGGGAGGGAGGGAAGGAAGGAAGGAAGGAAGGAAGGAAGGAAGGAAGAAAGGAAGGAAGGAAAGAAGGAAGGAAGGAAGGAAGGAGGGAGGGAAGGAAGGAAGGAAGGAGGGAGGGAAGGAAGGAAGGAAGGAAGGAGGGAGGGAAGGAAAGGAGGGAGGAAGGAAGGAAGGAGGGAGGGAAGGAAGGAAGGAAGGAAGGAAGGAGGGAGGGAAGGAAGGGAGGGAGGGAGGGAGGAGAGAAAGAAGTGCCAGGAAACCCCAGGAATCCCCGAAAAACCACAGGAATATTGCCCCAGACAGCTCCCATGTGCACAGGAATGGGGTACAGTGACAAATGTGGTGATTCTGGGTGAAATAACACAATGAGAATGAATGGCGGCCAGCTGACAGCCAGCAAGTAGACTGTCCTACCAGGGACTGGAGGAATACAAGATTCAAAGCCCTTGTGTGCCTTAAGTGTTGAGAGAGCCAGTCTGCACTGCCGTAGAGTAAAGATTTGATGATCTTGATGTGCGATCATCTCTGGGAGATGCAGCAGACAAGGTTCACTTACTCTCTGATATGTGTTAATGACCTATGGACAGTGCTGCAATGTTATACACAAACTCAAAATTAAAGGCATACATGTAAAGAAAGATGTGCAGCAGATAAATCCCATGTGAGCAGATGATTGATGTACTGGTGAGGGTGCCCTGCAGGATGCCTGATTAACAGTGCAGTGTCTGGTCTAAGTCAGGGACAGGATTCCTGCTCACTCACACCATATGAGACCTCAGGTGTGCCCATTGTCAGACCACAGGTGTGCTCAGTGTGTCAGACGTCAGGTTTGCTCAGTGTATGAGACCTCAGGTGTGCTGAGTATGTCAGACCTCAGGTGTGCTGAGTGTGTCAGACGTCAGGTGTGCTGAGTATGTCAGATGTCAGGTATGCTCAGTGTGTCAGATGCCAGGTGTGCTGAGTGTGTCAGACCTCAGGTGTGCCTCAGCACATTTGGCCCACTCTACACACGGGAGACACCAATCCTGACTTCCCAGATCCTGGCTGCAGTCCTGCAAAGCCTTGGTTGGTGAAGCAGCAACAGAAAAGCTCTGATTTTCAATATATAATATACACATACATGCATTACATTTCAAAAAACAATCTTGTATTTATACTTAAAGCTCTAAGTTTTAATAAGTTTAACATAGTTTAATCAATGTGTATCATCTTTACCTTTTTAAAATTTTAAAAAGCCATCAGATATATAATTTGATCAAGGTTCTGTATAAATAGGACATCTTTGTGCAATAAATCAAAATGATTTTTGAAAGTCCAGTTCCTAAATTAGCAAAATCCATTACTAGGTTCTCTCTGTGCTATGTCCCTAACTACTGGCCAACATCGCTACCTACCCTGTATTGTCTTACTTATCCTGATGGCTCCCAATGCTTTGAAATAACCTGGACAGCCTTTTGATATTATCCTAAAAAAATGTACACTGTATCTGCTTTCGTCATTCACTCTTCTAGATTAGTTTTTAAATGTTCTAACATTTCTCTTAAAATTATAATTTAATTGATCTTATGGAATTTAAAATTTTGCAAATTTTACACTTAAATTTAAATCTTCCAATCTAGAAAAATACTTTTTCTGACATTAAGAGATCCCTTTGTGTTCTATTGCAGATTGCTACATTTTTGAAACAAGAATTTACATTTCTTGCTAGAATATTCCAGGCTTTGTCTTTTTCCCCTGAGATGTACATACTATGCCTAATAGCTTTCTTCATGACCATACTGAAATCACACACAACAATCATGGTTAAAAGGTCAAGAATCATTCTTTCTAATATTTATGATCCATAACATTTTCTTAAGTTGCCAAGTTGACCGGAATCTCTGGAGCTAAGTGGATAATTCCGTCTTGTTCTTGATCCCATGGGACTTTGTATTGTTTCCCAGTCAACGGTGGTAATGCCATCATCACACTGGTGAAGGTGATGTGTTATTTTAGACTTTACTTAAGCTTAGCTATAAAAAAGGAGGATATAGACCAATATTTCCAGAAAGTGGAGACAGAACCCCGTGCTCAGACTGTCACCCCTTCTCACGTACTTTGGAAGGCTCCCTCAGGACAGATACTGTGGCCCACCCTGAGGATGAAGAGTCGCAAGGATACCTGCCTCTGTCTTTCAGGAGGATCAGGGACACCACAGCACTCCCAGTCACTGGGCCTGTTCCGCATCCATGTCCTCCCCTTCCCACCCCTCCTTGCTCAGATGAGCCATCACCCTCAGCGTCCACTCTCAGTGGTCTCCCTGGCTTGTACAGAACCCATCTGCCCACCTCCCTGCCTCTGCCCTGTTCCCACTGCACCCCTCAGATTCAAGTCAGCCTCCAGCTCCTGCAGCTGTTCCACCTGTACTTTTAGGATCACTCCCCAAGTACCAGTTACTGCTTAGGTTAAGAGTTCAGTGGCAAAGGTCAATGGCACTTAGAGATTCGTAGTTAAACATAATTGTCTCATGAGCCCTGTTATTTGGAATGCAATATTTTAAAAACATCAACCCATGTTTAATGAATGCTTACAGTATGGTTAAAAATAAAGGCTTATAGTCTATAAAAGGCACTGAAATGGAACACACAATGTGGTTGAGATCCTAAACAGCACAGCTGCTGGGGCAGTAGATCACCTGAGGCAGGCCACAGAAGTCTGTGCGAGGCATGTTCTGGGGAGAGTGCAGCCCAGGGCACCTGTCAGACCAGAGGGACGGTGCCACCACCACTGACGATCTCCATGCCACACAGATTCTTCAACAAATGCCATATGTGTGTCATCCTTGCGCAGGGTCCATGCTAATCTTCTCTGTATCATTCCAATCTTAGTATATGTGCTCCCAAAGCGAGCACAACAAATGCCATATGCAACGATGACACACAAGGGTAAGTTGGGTTGTTTTGAGCGCGAAGTTGAGCAGCACATAACCTCACATTCATTCATTCTCAGGTTACTCTACTGCATAGAGGACCTTGTACAGGCAAACTCCTCCAAGACTTGACCTACCGTCACAGCTGGGAAGTGCGTGGTTCCACTGGTGGCTGCGGTCACACACCAGGGGCTCGTCATCGCTCAACGTATACCCGGGGTCACAGCTGAATGTCACAGTGGCCCTGATGCCAAAGTTACTGCCATGCCGACGACCATTCACAGGGATGCCCGGGTCCAGGCAAGAGTCTGACTCAAGAGTCACACCTACATGCACAGAAAACATAGCGTGTGAGGGCCTTCCTGGTGACCTGGGGACACTAGCAGAGAGCTTGTGCCTGGGCATCACACACTGGCACACAGACACCCCCTAAGGGCATGCAGAGCCCCACTCTGCTTAACAGAAGACATCCCAGTCCAGAAACCTTAAATAACTCACTGATTTCTGTAAATTTTATGAGCCTTCATTGGAAAAAGAAATCCATGAACTTCAGTAAATGAAGTCTGAGCTTTTCCTATTCTCTCAGTCCTGTTTGCTCTCTTTGTCCAGCTGGGTTTTGTCTGTCTCTCTCTTTCATGTGTGTGCACACCCACGTGCATACACACACGATTCAATTTGAATCCAATTTGGTCTCCTAAGACTGCATTCCATGAATCCACAGAGTTTTAAAATTCACGCTTTAGTCAGCCACCTTTAAGATGCCCAAAATTACCCTATGTTAAAACATACAAAAATATAAAATGCTGTATAAAGTTAAGAAATTGTGCCATTGTAACTGTTTCTTTTCTCTTTCACATTTACCTAGAATAGCACGAGAAAGTACTTCAAACAGTTCATGGGAGTCAGGCATTTAGACCGTGGATCCCACAGCCACACCCCAAGCCACAGTGCCTGGGTTCAGCTCCCAGCTCGGCTTCAGATCCCGCCTTCCTGCCAGTGCAGATCCCAGGGGGCAGCAGGGACCTATGCTACCAACTTGGGAGATCTGAACTGCTGGTTTCACACCTTACTCTATTCTGCATATTGCACCTGTTTGGGGAATGAACCAAGGAATGGAAGCACCTCTCTCTCTCTCTCTCTCTCTCTCTCTCTCTCCCTGTCTCTCTCTCTCTCTTGTTCTCGCTCTCTTGCTCTCCCTTAAATAAAGGCAAATTTTAAATAAAAGTTTGTGAAAAAAGAATCACTTTTATCTTGATGAAATAAATTAAAGTGGATAGTTTTTAATACTATTAGTATGCACAGACTCCAACTTTTTGGATGAAAATAAGCTTATCTTTTATTTTTATCTTGCAAGCTTTCTCAAATGTGCTCCTGTTTTTTTGAGGACGAGGATAAGTGGAATGAAGGAGGCAACTGAACAGCAATGTTGCCCATACAGGGAAATACAGTCCTTGTTGAACTCGGGACCGCTCTCTGGAAGATTCAGGACCCTAGACTGAAGATCTGAGTATTAGCTAAGATTTAAATATTTTCAGCTTTCAGACTAACATGTCGCCCAGGGAGATCTATGGGGTATCATTGATTGCTGCACGAATTTTACCAAACCTTTTGTGAGGCAATTTTGAAGATTTGGTCAATTGTGCCTATGTAATGAGCTGGTAGAAATTCAAGGGACTCTACCCCAAGTCTGGAGTCACATGGCAACCAGTCAGCATGCACGGAGCTGAGGTTACCCTCCCTGGACCCTGGGACCTTAGACGGAGAACAACAGGCCTTGAACATGTGTCCCTCCCTGGACCCCAGGGCCACATACAGAGAACTACAGGCCTTGAACATGTGTCCCTCCCTGGACCCCAGGGCCACATACAGAGAACTACAGGCCTTAAACATGTGTCCCTCCCTGGACCCTGGGGCCACAGGCAGAGAACTACAGGCCTTAAACATGTGTCCCTCCCTGGACCCTGGGGCCACAGGCAGAGAACAACAGGCCTTGAACATGTGTCCCTCCCTGGACCCCAGGGCCACATACAGAGAACTACAGGCCTTAAACATGTGTCCCTCCCTGGACCCCAGGGCGACAGGCAGAGAACTACAGGCCTTAAACATGTGTCCCTCCCTGGACCCCAGGGCCACATACAGAGAACTACAGGCCTTGAACATGTGTCCCTCCCTGGACCCCAGGGCCACATACAGAGAACTACAGGCCTTAAACATGTGTCCCTTCCTGGACCCCAGGGCCACAGGCAGAGAACTATGGGCCTTAAACATGTGGCCCTCCCTGGACCCCAGGGCCACAGGCAGAGAACTACAGGCCTTGAACATGTGTCCCTCCCTGGACCCCATGGACTCAGGATTCTGGAATTAGAAGACAGAGATGATCACGGGGGACGTCAGGAGGGTGCACTCTTGCAGTGCACCAAGGCCTCTACAGTAAAGGAAAATCAGTCTCCAAGGACGAGAGTCTGCCTGGACGGAGAACTAGCACTATGTCTGCCAGGTGCTGATGGAGTTTCTCTCCCTTCCCCCCCCAGTCCTGGCCACACAACGAAAACCATGCACCCACGGATGTCACGAAAGCCAGGGAAGTCTTTAGATTCTGCAACACTGCTTCTTCGCTTAAATTTAAAATCATGAGCATATTTTTTTGCGGGGGAGGTAGTGATAGATTTTCTTCTGCTAGTTCTTTGTAAGAGAAAGACTAACAGCATTTATTACTGTTAGAAGAAAAGGAGCTGACTTTGAAAGTCATCCGTGAGCGGCTTATGTCACAGTTGCCAGGAACTGGGTTGGCCCCACTGGGAACCTTGACAAACCTCTTATCCAAGGGAGAGATGGCTTCCCTGGATGCCTTCTATTGGCCATAACATGGATGCCACGTTTTACTGTCTCATAAATGTCTTGAAATATACTCAGTTACAGAAAAGGAACCAGGCCAAGAAATTATGCTGATTGGTCATAATACATTTTAACTGTCATTCTAGAGTAAGTCCTGGCCCGTCCCTCACCTCTCTCTTACATCTGTATCTATGTGGTGGGATGGTGGTATGTGAGACCCTCCATGTGTTTTTCTGTGCATAAACCCAGCTAAATAGGACTCATCACCACTGCATCCCAAGTGGTCTCCACTTACAGTCATAAAAAGATCACTATAACCCACAAAAATGACCTGTGAGCGCATTTGAGTGCAAACATACAACCTGCTCCTTAGCCTGTCAGACTTGTGGATAGCACAGATGACTCCCACGGGGGTGTTTTCTAGTGAATCTCCCTTCTTCCTTCCAATAGTATTGGAAAGCATAATTCTGAGAACATATTCAGGAAATTCTTTACAATGAAATGCTCCAAAGTGAAACAGAAAACCTGCATGCATTGGAAAATGTATTTTGTAATTCTCAATAACATTAAAGCTATTTTAAAATAGCAGCTGAAAGATTGGTCAATAAATAAAGAGAGGATTATTCCGTAGGAACATTTCAGGTATGTTTATGTAAAAAAACTGTGCCACCTCCCTCACAAAGAATGGAGCAATGTAAGAACAGGCTGTGACTGGACACCTAATGAGAGCGGTGACCACAGGCCAGTCAGGCCACAGCAGAGCTGGGCTGAGAGTGGTGACGACAGGCCAGGCAGGGCACAGAGCAGAGCTGAGCTGAGCTGAGAGCGATGACCACAGGCCAGGCAGGGCACAGAGCAGAGCTGAGCTGAGAGCAGTGACCACAGGCTAGCAAGGCCACAGAGCAGAGCTGGGCTGAGAGCGATGACCACAGGCCAGACAGGGCACAGAGCAGAGCTGAGTTGAGAGCGATGACCACAGGCCAGGCAGGGCACAGAGCAGAGCTGAGTTGAGAGCGGTGACCACTGGTCAGCCAGGCCACAGAGCAGAGCTGGGCTGTAAAGGTCTCCCTGGGCTTCAGCCAGCGGCCAGGCAGCTCAATAAGCCAACCTGAAGCACATACTGCTCACAGCAGCCTGTGGCCTCTTGTAACCCCTTTGCCAAGGCCAGCAGCCATTTCTGCAAGGCTTTCTGTCTGGAGAGCACAGGTACCAAGAGGGATCATTAGGAATCTGCCCAGCCAAGTATGACAGCAGACCAAAGACAGAGGGGCAACAGTACGACTTTTAAATGGCATAAAGACTTCGGCACATGTCATTCAAGTGTCACAGGCAACAGATTCCTTGAGAATTTCTTCATGAGCAGATGTCAAATCTTTCAAGTGTCAGCAAGCTGGCTTTGAAATAATTCCCTGCAGGATGGCAGGCACATGCAAGTTTTTAGGGTTTGTTCCAACTGTCTTTGCCACATCATCACCTTTCCATACTCTTCTTTCCCCCTCCCTTGTGCCTTTCTCCTTGTCTTCTTCCTCCTGCAGCCCTGGACCCAGGCCCTCTCACACAGCTCTGCTCTGTGCTCAACAACCATAGGTTCTCTCCTGGGACATGGCCCACATCTAACACTGCCTCACACAGCATCAGCTCGAGGGCTTGGTGAAAAACCCAACCTTCTGGCATTCACAACACATCAGCCCAGGGCTTAGGACTCTGCTGAGATGCCTGTGACAGAGTCTGCCTGCCCTGCAGGACAGCAGTCTTCCAGACCAAGAGCCACCTGTGGGCCATGGAGCTCACAGTGAGTACCTAGGCATCTCCATACCCATGGGTTGCAGCACAGGCCTCCACAGCATAGAGGGGCCTCAGACACCCAGCAGGGAGAACACCAGGGAATGGCACTGCTCTACAAGTCCGGGCTCCTCCTTATAGAAACTCCACATCCTTCTCTCCTTAGTTTCTGTGGCTTTGATGATGAATCAACAAATAAGAGGTGATAACAAATCAAGGAGCAACGTGACATCCCCAAGGGCTAACACTCTTCTCCAGTGAAGTTTGCAGACTTTGACTGGAGGAACACAAAATATGTTGGCCTTTCTGGAAAGGTGTCCAGAGCTTTCCTTTGTGGAAATGCAGAGGACTTTAGAAGCGGAGCTC